CTGCGTACAATGCATCATTAAAACAATTATTATATTTTTTTGTAGATACGTATACAATTATGTTATGGATTTAAAATGTACTCTTATATTATGTTATAAAAGTAATCTGATCAATATTTACATATTGTGAAATATCTCTAAAGATACGGCTAAAACGTAAGTTTTTAGTGATAACGTGACACTTTGGAAAACTGTACATTGTGAAGTACGTACCTATAGCTATATTTTTGTTTTACCCATTAATGTTATCACTTGCAACTTGTTTCATTTGTCTGAACAGCATTGTATGTCTTTTTCTATATAATATTTAATTTTGTCGCTAAAAGTAATTAGAAAAACATTTATTTACAGTTCATGCGCGTGCAATTATAAACTTTCTATGAAAATCAATAACTAAAAATGCAAAGCTTTAAATAATGGTAACACGTGCTGCTAATGATGAAACGTTGATTCCTACGAATGTACTACTCACCATATATTTTATTGAACAGTTTATTTACATGGTTGAAAAGAAACATTCAAATTGGAAATCATTTTCCAAATTTAAATCTTTTTAACACAAATTAAGGATCAAATGTTGTTCACATTAGGACAATATAACAATAGTCAATAGTATAACATAAAAGTCCACTTTATGTCTTGTTAAAAAGTATTATACAAGGCCGTAGTCAKGGGGTTTAGGATTCAGACTCACCCCTAAAATTATTTTGCTGGCTACGACCATGGTATTATATCAAGTACTTTCAAAACACTTTAATAAACATGAACCATAATATTATTTATAATATTATTTCATTAAAACAAGAACACAAACAAATTTTTCTTGATAAATTATAAATTATAACACAAACAATTAAATTAGTATGTGAACTGCATACCAATTTTTAAGTAATTATTAGTATTGGGRTATAAAATTTATTAGTAAAATTGAACACTTAAGTTTTCCAACTATGGCTTTTGAAATAGAAATAGCCAAATAGGATCTGTTTTTAATTTATAAACATCGAAATACATCAGTTTATCAATTTATATTAATAAAAGTAGGTAAGCTTAAGTGTTAAATAATAAATTTATGCAAAACTAAAATTAAAAAATATATGCTTATTTTCAAATTGGACAGGTATTATTATTCTATTATGGTATTATTGATCAATAACATAGTGTAAGTACATATTATATATGTTATACATATTCATAAATAATTCAATTTAGAATCGTTAGTATTATATTTTGGTGATATTGTATAACATATAATTTTTCCATATGATGATTATATGATTATTCAAACCAGTCTAACCTACTTAATGAAATATCAATTAATGATGTGTGTAACGCATTATATAAACTAGATAGGTTATTCAATAAATACATTTAATAAGAACCTACAAATTGTTCAATACTTTGTAAATTACATAGGTATTCTAGTTTAATAGGTATTGACGATTCTTCTTCAAACAAGTATATTAAATTAAACAAAAATATTTTAATATGTTTTTCATTTATATAAGTATTAATGTAAGACAAAACACATACATTACCTAATTGATAATAAAAATGAAGAATGYCAAAGCATTTATCTTAAGCTTGATAACTATTATGAATTTGAGTGAAATATTGGTGCAATAATTTAATATCTACTCAATTTGAAATATATTAAATATATAAATTATCACTAAATTATTTTTATACTTCAATAAATAAATATTAACCCACTAATGAGATAAATATGATTTTAACTAAAATAGTTTGCTGCTAAGTACCCAATGAGTTTTCAGCATAAAATTCTAGCATATTTAAATGTAGGTACTTGTGAGTATACGGAGAAATAAAATTGAATACCATATAAAATAATAATGTTTCTTAATCTTATTATATTGGTTTCAACACAAAATAACTGTCCTATTATAATTCAAATAACAAAATGGGACTTTATTATAACATTTTATATTTGATACCAAAAGGTATAATATTATAATATATTATTTGAAAATTCGAAATAATTTATTCAAAATTCAACTAATACAGTGAAGGACTTATTATTATTTTAGATTCGACCCGTTTTTATAGATTTAATTGCGTAAAGAAAGTATTAACGTGCAATAAGAGAAGAATTTTAAGCTAAAAATAAACACACAGGCCAAAATAGAGATAAATTGATGTATTTGGATGACTTGGGAGAGAATTAGGATTACTTACGAGCTTGGACAATCGCTAGAAAGACTGGTGAGGCTTGCTTGTCTGCCCGGGGCCACCTCTTGGGACCGCTTAAAATTGGGTTGGGCGCCACCGCCTCCGCCACCTGAACCGCGTTTCCCTTTCGAGCTCCTTCCTTCTATCCAACAATCAATCAAATAAAACAATATCCGAAACAATTAAATTGTGATTGGAGTTTTCTAGTAATTAGGATTTATCACAGTGATCTGCTATAGGATTCAGGTGATACCGGCGCATATTTTTTCCATATATTTTTATACACACCGTTTATACAGTTTACAATAATATTTGTACTGTGGAAAAACCATACTTCATTATGTACCGTAATAAAGCTTTCTACAACTATGCACGAACTCCTAAAGTATTGATATATGACTAAGTGAAAAATACGAAAGATCATCTAACCGGAATACGACTATTGGCTGTCTACAATGACTGAAAATGTTCCAATACCAATAGACGTAGCCGGGGTGTTTGTAATTCGCAATATTTACAAGCGTCTGTTATTATTTTCCATGAAAAGTAACTGTATTGAATATTTCTAGCGACGATGTTATCTTTTCATAAATATGTTCAGAGTTTGCACAAACATTCTACAACAAAAATTATATGTACACGAGTGATGATCCAATCCCCATGCAAAGGCAAACTTCTTTTTTATTTTTTATTTTGAAAATCATCAAACCAAAACGACAATATACACAGGCTTCTTTGAGTTTTACCATGTTTGGTCTTCATCCAGGATACCATCAATATCTCCGTGGTTTTATAGTAATAATTTTTTTWAAGTTTTTTTTGTCATAAAAAATTACAAATATCATACATTATTAACCTTTCGCCGTCTTGGGATGCTTCACCGTCACTAGAAACGCTGGACGGCTGTTTGACGAGGGGTCGACTTGCCCCAGGCAGCACTTCTTCACTTCTGTGCACCGTAAACGAAGATTTTCCTTTCGAACCAAAACCTAACCTACGCTTGCGCCCTTTAAATCCAGCCCAAAATTAGTAATTTTACTACGAAAACATCACATTGGGCAATAAACATAACTATTAAAAATACAAATTGAATAAAAAAAATACTATTCTGGATATTGTAATAAACTGTAAGAAATATAAACAATTTAATAAAAAAAAGTATCAGATCATTGTAAATATAACAAATCGTTGGATTTTCAATGGTACAAATTAACTCGTAAATTTCAAAAAATATACTCAAACTATCTGATAAATAGTTTTAAAATATAGGTATTGTAGTGTAAATAGTTTTTTAAATGTTGTCTACAAAATAAATTTTATCGAAAATTAGAAATAATTAATCAAAATTTAAACCCGAGATCTTCAAATTGCCCGGTAGAACAATTTTTACAATGTATAGTTTTATAATTTCATTGGTTTATTTGAGGAATTCACAATCCTGTTTGTTCACTTTATTAAGGAAAATTAGAATTGTCTCAAACATATTTAGTCATGGAGTGGTATAAGGTTCTTTTTTGAGAGTACCACTCACCGGTTGCTGATAATTGAGATGCTGATGCACTTTTTTTGCCCATACCGGAATTGGAAGAGTTGGTCCCAGAAGCTGAGCTTTTACCGGCACTTTCTGTTAAGGAAGACGAATCGCCTCTTCGTTTTCCTGAACTACCAGAATCTAAAACCAGACATCATCGGTTCAATAATAAAATAAAAAGCTAATTTCACTGTAATCATACCGGTTATGTTATCTGTCTGTACATCAGCATTAGACAGGCTCCGTGAAAATTGAGCCCTTTTGCTATCGGATGTTGGTGCCATTACGGGAGATTGTTGTGATCCAGATCTACTGTGCGACGCTCCATAATCACTGCCATGGACAATAGCATTTAAAGGGTCGGTTAAAGCATAACTAAACGCTACAGCAGCGCCACTATAGCTACCCACTACGTCTAACACTGATTCGCCTAAATCTAGAGTAAGGTTTCTTTTCCTACGGGATCTTTGCCTCTCTGTAGGTGATTGAAAACCTAGCATATCCAACCCGGAATCGGAATCATAAAGAGGATCGTGGTTATCTAGATGATTTAAATTAAATCGTGTTTTTTTTAATGGTTTTGGGTTTTCAGTCGGAGAATTTTCCGTTAAAACCGGTCTATTGTCTATCGGATGGAGTAAAAAGTAATCAGCAGGAAATGAATTATAACGGTACAAATGTATACTATCACGCTTGCTACTACTTTTACTAAAACTACAGCTGGGTGAATGTGACGTTGATGGGTAGCGGTAATCGGTGGCGTTGCAGCAGCTGCAAAAGACAAAACACATTGGCGTGAGATTTTCAGATATTATCTCATTCATCAATACGTTTGTGAAAAATACTAATAAATTTTCGAGCCGATGTAATAAATGTACTCTATTTAAGGAATGTTAACACGCACAATATGCCACTTTGAAATATCAGAAATCTAAATGTATAAAAAAATAGATGAGTAATGATTCTAGCACAATACTTAAATTCTAACTGGATTTGATTATTTATAAGTAATGTAAACTTAACATCCTGATAAGACAATCAGGTTTTCTTTACCAAAATATCGTCGATCTGGGCTGTTCAGATTGCGTAGATAAAGCACTGCTGATAACACTGTCGCTATCATCAATATCACAAGTATCTCCAGTTTCTCCTCTGGACATCATTGACCCTCTAACGTGTGGAGGTGTCAGAGATCGAAGTTGTTGCATAGGTATATCACTATCACTTAACCCACCATAATGGTGTAATCTACCAAGGCCTCCTGTTCTACTCTGAATTCTTCGAGGTTGCATTTGTCTCGTTCTTCTTCGAACCGATGACGTTTGGTCATCAAAATACTGAAATATTTACATTTGAAACATCTAAATAATTTAAACAGTGCCTATTTAAAAAACTTACATATGGAATTCGTTCATCTAAAGAAGAAGGCATAGTTCCTGGAATTTGAGGAAGTTGACGTTTTTTGGGGGTAGATGTAGGAGTAGCTGTTGCTGACCTAGCTAAGAACCTTGAAGGACCTTGCCTATAGCTCTGAATACCTCCAGGATACCTATAATCTGGAGGAGATAAACTTCTTCTGTCGGAGAGCATGGTTGGACTTTTCGATCGTGATCTAGAATGTTGGCTAGGAGAATCAGTCGGTGCAGCAGATCTCGATCTATGACTAACACTTGTTATAGATCGAATTGGTACGGACTGCTGCTATATATTTTAATATTTTAGTATTATTAATATTTAAATTTAATACCCATATTTTAGTGTTGGTATTTACTTTTAAACTGGCTTCATATCCATATTTTTTTTCAAGAGTAGTGCCATACACGTATGACTTTTGTAATGGTGACATATCCCTACGACTTTTCCTCCGATCCAAATGATCATAATCAGGCGGTGGGCTAAACAATTTTTTAATTTTTTAATTTAATGATATAACGTTTAATTATATGTCRAACTATACCTTATGGAACTACCAAGGCTACTTATTGATGCACCATCAGCTCCAACTCGTCGTCCGCTACAGCAATCATCAACATCCGAAGCATCTGAATCTGATTGTCGAGATAATGTAGATGGTGGAGACAAGTGTTCTCCTGAGTATTCCATATCATAATCACCTATTGTAATACCTCCTTCTCCCTGATAATATTATTTCAAAACAATTAAACAATAATATATTGCAAAATAAATAAATGTATAAAAAACGTACAGTTATTTCTTGGTGTGCAGTCAATGGATACCATTCAGCCAAGTTTTCTAATTTCTTAAGCCCCAATTCGATCAGTACTTCTCCAAGAAACTGATTTGTAGGGTTGTTATCATAATCCCATAGTGAAATTTGAAGAACTTTAAACTTTAAATCTGACCTTCTCATAGTTGTAAATGAAAAATTTTGATTCCATTTAGGATCAGTGGAATTCACTATCGTTTTAGTTCTTCGTTTAGATTTTTCACTTGTATCTGGTAAAAGGCATACTTTGGCGTATGCTGATCTTGGTGAACCATCAGACCGTGGTAACAGATTTGATGCGGCCATTATAGTTACSACCAACTTTAGTGATTGCGGGTCAAAACCTAATTTGACCTAAAACACCCATACAAAATAACAACAAGGTCAGTATTTGAACATTAGATTTGATTTATTATAATTACCTGTATCTTCCCTCCGACGTATAAACTATTTGGTCCGCTAACACTTTTGGAAGCCCTTAAGACCCGGGCTGGATTTGAAGCCAAATGTTCTGGACTACCCGGCGAAGTAACCATTACATAAGGTTTATCTTTACGTAAATCATATAGACCTGAAAAAATATTAACATATATCGCTATTGTAATTGTATAGTTATTTTTAGTTCAATTTTTATAAGTCTAATGGGGGTCAGGGGCATCAGTAGGGCGGTTTGAAATCGCGCTAACCCATTGAACTCGTTTTAGCTGAAAGCAAATGAAACAGGCATCATTAATCAATATAGCTATTGTAATAGGGACTATAATAGTACCTTCTTAAAATGTATACCTTTAGTTGGAGTGCCATAACTTGCTCTTCTCGGAAGTATTGACCTGGACACTTTGAGCTCAATTTGTGGCAAATGTTTTGATTCTGAAATAATGTCTGATACTTCTTTTTGTGTTTTTCCTTGTAATAGACAACCATTCCATTCCAACACCTCGTCGCCTGTTAAAATTAACAAAACATAATATTATTTTATTCAATTAAATACGTTTTTTGAATAATTTAATTTATAATTATTATTTATTTTATATTTTTGTCTAATATAAATAACTGTAGGCTACAACTATAACATTATTTTTTTAAATTAATCTCACAATACTAAATCTGTATTAAATAACACTATATATTTAATAAAACTATGCATTTTATTTTTCATTAATTTAACATCTGATTATGACAGATGACTAGATRATAACATTTAAATTTCAAACCCGTATTAAATATTAGATTTTAAAATCATTATATATTATATTGTAATGTATTTAATAAATTCAATTAACCGTATATTACTCAATCTAATCTAAAAATATACTGCTAACTAATGTAATTAAATTATATACACAAGTTCGAATATTTTATAGCACTAAATCATTTTATAAATTGTTAATTCAATAAGTTTTGTTCTAWTATATACCAATTTATATTATCTTGATTATTAAAKAACAGTTAGKTTTTTTTAATCAATAATCAATATATCCGTGTTCTAAATAATCATTTCTTATAAACATCACGGTTTAAAAAAATAGGAATTTCTGAATTTCTGAATTTCTGAATTTCTGATATAAATTATTAGTATTCAAATAAAATCTAATAAAATTAATTAATTTTCATGTCCAATAAGTTATACTAACAGTCAACATTTGTATAAAACAATTTAAAAATGTAATTTGCTACAAAAAAGTTTAATTTGAGCGGTGTTAAATAGTAAAATTMTTATTCTTATAAATATTAGAAATGCATGATTATTAATTGTATTTCATTTTTATAATATACGCCATGTCTTAAATTGGTATGTGCTAATGAATATTATAAGAATATATCTATATAATATTACAACTAGTAAAAACAGGGAAAAGTTATAAAAGTTAATTTTATTCTTTATCATCTATACAGAGAAAGAAATGTGATTTGAATATCATTTCAACCGTATTATGTATAAATATTAAATAACCTTAAGTAATTGTAAATGTAAAAATATATGTATTAGTATAAATTGATAATATGAGTTGTGTGAAGTCTAAAARCTGACTTTAATTTTTCTTTTGCGAATGAAATTTTCATTAATATGAGTTTGATTCTTTAACCAACTGGGGAGGGGAAAAGGAGCGTCAATAGATGGAGAAGAGAAACACCAGACGCCGTGTGTCCCACTAACCCGGTTTCAAATTTCCCTCCATGTCAGCTGTACTGCCTTTCCGGACGCGATCGATAATCGCACATCTCCTTCCGGTGGCCGACAGGAATTTGCCACCGGTGATTTTCAGGCCCAACATGGCAGCCGCACTGGAAGACGGGCTGATCGGGGTCTCCCAAACAGACTTGTTAAGCACCATGTGACCTATCAAGAACTTGTTATCGGGGCTCCGTTGCCACGACATCGGTTGCTGCAAACAGAATCAGCATTAGCCTCGACGTGCCGGCTGCATGCGTCAGACCTATCTAATCGTAACTTAACATACCACTGATTTTTTGATTTTTTTCTTTCGTATTAAGGTATCATTTTTCATTTTTTTTTTTTAAAGTATTATATAAACTTCTAATGATAAGTATGAATCGCCTCGATTTTTTTTAAACGATGAAATAAATCTGTTGTTTTAACCGAAATTAAAATCCTCAGTCGAGAGTCAAAGAACCAAGTAAACTTATCAATATATTTCATACATTCAATAATTTTATAACCAGTTAGTCATTGGCAAAGTCGAGTGTTACGAATCTATAGTTAGTGTTATTACCCTTCTGCTGATAATAGCTGGATAGAAAGTAAAAAAATCTGTTTATTATTTATAATATATTGGACAAATTTCAATTACGGTTATAATCTAATATTACTCATTATATTTTATATATTATAATATAAATAGGTATTTTAAAATCGCTGTGGGTATGAATATTAAGAACGAAAAAACTTAACATTTTGTTGAAAATCGTAAATTAATAACATATAAACAATCTCTAAATCGACTTACCAACATTTTAGCAAATTAATTGACTAATTACTAATTACTAATTAGTAATTAGTATGTAAATCACTAAAAAGTAACCTAAGTGCAAAATAACTAGAAAAAATAATCACTGTTCAACAAATGTATATTATACAGTATACATCAATAGATTTTGTATCAGTTTCTTTTTGAGGTATTTTTTGTTCTATCCGTTAACAATATAGGTCTAAATATTTCGGAAAATATTAAAATTGAATTGTTCTTTAACTTCATAAATACRTAATATAATTAAAATAGGTACCTGTACATTCACCTTAATAATTAATACCATAAATCGTAAAATAAAATATGACTCAGTAATGTTTTGTTACAATTAGATATTATTTTCCATCAAGTTCTACATAAAATCATCATTTCAATCATTTAACTATCAATAATATTTAAATAAAAGAAAACATGCTCAACTATAGAAAAAAATACATACACAATACACATGCAAAACATAATAAATAATAATGTACATTCAAAAAAGCAGTTAGCAGTGTGTAAAAAATTGTAAATTGACACCTATGTATTTTTTATTATTATATATTCGAATGAAATTCAATAGAGATTTCATGTAATTTTTCTTGATGAGTATTATAGTTTTAAAAAMTTACTAATTCACAGTTTATATAGGTAATATCATAATAAAAAATAAATACATTTTGATATTAAATATYATAAAATAAATTTCCGTTATTACATTTGAATTAAATCTGTCTTACCTTCTTATAATATTTTTTTTATTATATCATAAAAGTAAATTGTAGTAATAAAACGTTTCGTTTGCCATTGAATATATAGGACATTTATCAGATGAAAATTAATTTTTATGTTAATTATAACTTTAACTTAGATTGGTAGTATCTATTTAGGGGACTATTTTAACGTTTTTTAATAAAATCRATGTAATTTTTACTTCTATCACGTTTTATGTCGATTATAAAATATATAATATATATATACAAGATACATCAAAATCAAACTAAATTTTATAATAATAGCGAAAATGTTTTTTTTAATATATTACAATTATTACATACTAATCTATGTTTACTAATTCAATTAATTACACATTAAAAATCTTTATCTATAGACTTGACATTTTGAAGAAAAATCATATTCAATTAGTTATAACTTATAAATGTATTAACAGTCAGAGACAATATAATTTTATATTCCAAAAGTTCAGTGGAATTCCACTCAGTAATAACGATTACACTAACAATTTTTATAAGGTCTTAAGACTGTAATTACAGTACCTAGTAATTTATTTTTATCTAGGGATAGAATTATCAGAAAACATAATTTTGACTATTTTGAAATTTCAAACGATTTTCCCGAACAGCGGAAATGAACTTTTATTGTGTGTCATGATTCATGATTCRCGTTCATATTGGTGTTAGAAATAAATTGTATACAACTATTTCAACAAAGTGAAATTTTGATTTTCAACATTGTAAGAATGTTAGCAAACTAGAAATTAACAAGTGGACTAATGCCAAGTTGCATAAATATGTGTTATATAGTATTTAATATAATACATTTTTATTTATTTTAGTTTCAATTACTACATTTATAGGATGGAGTTAAGACAGTTTGAAATTAAATTGATTTTAAATTCTTGAACTACATAGTTCGAGTGTTTTAACTTTTAAAACCGTTTTAACGTCATCATATAAACATAGTAAATGAAATGTAATGATGGGCCAATTATGGGCCATTAATAATGTTAATTAGTTTACTACTAATCAATAAAAWTTYTTGTAATTATTTATGCAGTCCGGCATTACTATTCTATGTTAATATAATATATAATTGATATCGTACATATACATTGTACCTATGAATTAAAGGCTTTTAAATTTGGCCTTATAAACATATTTCTACTTTAATTTTTAATTTTGTTTTTTTATGTTTTAATTCGATGTTTAGTACCTTTATGTCGCCGAGGTATATTGGGTCGTCATTGGACGTGAATATCGAACTGCCGGTGTCAAATCCGGAATCTTTGGACGTTTGCTGTGTCGTTTGGTGGTGTCTGTGGTCGAATCKCACAGTTTTCTTTCGCCTCGGTCCATTAATGGTACCCATCTTGCGATAAATTGCTAAATGACAACACAATGTCATCCCTATCCTCAAACCGCCCAGACTCAAGAGCCCCAACCATAATAATAGAGCGCAATAAATAAAACACAAATATGTTTAAAGTCAAGAGGGTCAAATTGTGTCACGACGCATGCATGTTTGCTGGGTAACGCCATAAAGAAAAAAATCAAAATTTAAACAAATCACAAATTTAAACAAATCAATCTCATCCAACACCAAAAAAAAAAAAATAGGTAATATAATCACAAAAACAAAATATTGAACACAACGATGAAGAAAAATCGTTATTGAATACAAAAAAAAAATAAAAAACGGTCTTTACAAATGCCAAAACCTACCGATGATAATGTCATTGAATGTTTATAAGTCTGGTCTTCTCCCGCATTACTCTCTGCGTCACCTGTACGTCAGTTCAATCAATAACATTACTATAGTGTTTACGACGAATTACATTCGCACCACGTCCCTGCCTACTCCAAACTTGTTCACGTTGAAAAAAATCTAGAGTATTGACGTGATGACGAGGAGGAGTTGGTTGGGGGTTATCGAAGAACAGACGAATTACGGTAAAAATTATAGAATACACAAATACTGAATCTTCTAAAAATAGGTACGAGCATAGTTATTTCAAAAATAAAAGCAAAAATCTGGTAACGATTTAAACTGTWCATTGAAATATAATATCTTTACCTACTTATGCGTTCCATAATATATTTAATATATTGATGTACCTATGACGTTTCCGAATTTACGCGCCGAAGAAATATCTGCAATTATACGCATGCGTTACTGACGACTTTGCGCACAGCAGTCAGTATGCATGGTATAAACCGTGTATATAATAATAATAATAATAATAATATACAAGAGTGTTCCATTTAACTAGTCATAATAAAATTATTCAAGTCAATAATTATTAATCAAAAATATAAAATAAAATAAAATAACAACAGTTTTGTATAACGATATATTTTACAGAAATAATGTTATTATTTCTACTATTTTTTAATTCGATAATTTTTTTAACAATRACCTATACATTTTCAATTTTATAATATGTGRTGATATCTCATCGATAATCATTGATAAACATTTAAAGTTTAGAAGATTTGATTAAAAAATCTAAAGTATAAACACTTATAAATATCATAGGAAACTTTTTTTAACATTATACAATATACATCTAACATTTTGGAAGAAGTTTCCTTCTTTTAGGAATAAAAATATATTGATTTTAACTTCTTAAAAAATATATATATACAATTCGTGTGTTATAGATACTTCAAACAGCTCAAAATATTTAAAACGGTACTTTTTCATATAAAAATCACAGCAATTCACTGAGAAAAGTGGTTTTATAGTGTGACTGGTTAAACAGAACAAACCGTATATAATATAATTATTTATACATACATAATGCGTGTATGACTAATGACTATAATATAGCATTATGATTATTGGTATACACGCGAATTGGCGCAATCAACGAATGGCTTACCTTTTTCACTTTCGTGCTCGTCACAGCTGGTGCACTCGGACGTGGATCGCAACTCCTCCTCCTCAGAGCTGGAAAAACTGATGCGTTGGTGCTGGTGCTGGTGCTGGTGCTGGTGCTGTTGATGCTGCTGGTGTAGCCGTTCGGGGGGCATCGTGTTACCAGGCCTCTTGTGCTTGCGCACCGGCACGCCACCAGGACCTCCAGGACCTCCCATCAGTGACTGTTTACAGTCCACTGCAGYCGGACCGAACTGGTGCAGTGGGGGCTGGTGGTGCAAAGACCTTGACGACTGGTTGCCGGTTCCGGTCCTGTGCGACACCCCTTCCAGCTGACCGCCACGATAGTAATCGTCGTGGCCCTGAAACGGMAACATTTAAGGTATTGTGAAGGTGAATGCTGGTGATGTCCGGCACTCGATAGGTGAGTGCCGTAAGGGGTGGTATTAGGACGAATGTATGAGTTTAGAGCGTWAAAATAAATTGAYATCAAGTGTGTTCGAACGCTCGAGACGAGCCTGCGTCCTGATAATTAGCTACGTTGATTTGATTTTATTGGTCGATTTAAACAACAACATTTATATTTTTTATCAACTCARTCTTCAACATTTTTAGTTTGTTTTATGACAGCTATATAATATTTAATTTATTTTTAATCGGAAGTAAAGTACTTTTATAAAAACGTTAAAATAGAAATATTTAACATTTAGAACAAATTTAACATAAATTTTTTATGAATTAATATTAAAATTTAAAAGTGAAGAAAAATAGACAGAGCGTATAGGTACTAAAGGTACTTTACTCTTATTGACTATTGTACGTAATAATTAAACAATGCTCTCTGTTTGATATAAATACTTGAACATATATACAAATTATACATAAACTATTTTAAATAAATATTTCACTTAAATATGTCACTGTACAAAATTAAGAACATAATATAATATGTCATTAAAAAATTATATAAACTTAAAATTAGTAAAAAACTATACTATAAAGGCTCTTGGCAAACTATAGAAAATCAATTTTTTATAGCTATAATAGTTGACTTGCGTAATTAATTTAGGCAGTTAAACACTTCATAGCGTGTACATAAATATGTAAAATTAGATAGTCGATCGAGCGTCCAATCGAAAAGTGTAATATCAGATATTATTATTGTAGTACCTATTCGAGTGGCTATAAAATTAGTGAAGTTAATATTTTAACTAATTTAAACATAATAGTATGACATAATAATACGTATAATGCGAAAACCTTAGGACTCTACTCGAACCTAATAAAAACAGATTTCAATCGAAAAATTAATTGTCTAACTACATTCACCGTATGTATGCCAATACAGTGTAAATAATGTAATATTGATTACTCTGACGCAGCACAGGAAATGGTYTACACCGATCGCGGTTTGTCGCTTGTGYACTTAACAGTTAATGTGCATTTCACTATTAAGCCCGTGGCATAATCATCGATATAGTTATATATAGGTTTATTTATTTATTTTTTATYCGTTTTTAGAGTCGTATTTTGCAGAGAAGCTGTATACCGGTCCACAACTCAAAACATTACACGAATTTATTGTTTAATCGCAAACGGCGTTTTTATCTTGCCATTATTTTACAGTAATGAATAAAGAAGTTATAACATAATTTAATTTTCAAGTACTCAGGCGGTCACTAGTGACAATAACATATAGGTAATATAATAATAATTGTAATAATAAATAGTAAGACGYACTGAGCGATAGTATTCGTCAGCCAATCCATGCTCCTGATGCTCCTTCCGGCTGGACGGCTCCTGTTGGGAGTATTGGCGTCGCAGGAGGCTGTTAGACCGCTGTAACAGTGGCACGTTCTCCTTCTCCACTGCGCTGTGTGCCCTTTCGAGCTTGGGCCTCTTATCTGACATCATACAGGGCGACGACACCTCGGATCGCCTGGATGGATCGCCGCCAGCGGCCGCCATACCATGGTTGATCCATTCCCCAGACTTGCTGAGAAGCTCTTGTTTTTTCCGACACAATATGCACACCCATATCACCTGAAAAAATACATTTATGATTTTTACATTTTTTTTTATCATTAAATAATAATTTCAGATGCCCCGATATATCCTATAGGTATATAAACATCAACAAAAATGACTTCACTGGRAAAACATCATTCAGGCCTTKTAGAATTGTCTGATTTTGATAACTATATTTTTATATGGAAGAGGTAGACTTCCTACAGTCCACATTGAACTCCGATTTTTTATTTTATTTCAAATAACGGTACAACATAATTAGTAGGTTAAGTAAAAAACTTARAACTGCCTTATTTTAAAAAGATTACAATTTGAAAAACCCAAAGATCAATGTGACATGTAAAATATTACTCTCTATTAGTTTAAACTAAAAAAAAAATGATCACATTTGGTTGATTCTATCATTATTCCCCAGTAGAGTGTATTCTTGTGGACAAMATTACATTGGCRCCGGCGAAAGTGGTTAGTAAGTAGTAAATAGGATAACATTTTATTGTTGTTCATCTATATTATCACATCATGCGTTATGTAAATAGTAGGCCGTTCATCATCGCATTCAAATGTTTGACCCACCATCATTGTGTATTTTGTGTAACGTAACGTAGGCATACGGTGTGTTATTGAATTATGGTGTTTTACGTTACCTAATTAGCATATATTAATATATAACTTGATCAAAATATTCTATAATTATAATATACATATCTACACAACTATTATTATAAAACCGTTATTAAAAAATAGATCATTAAGTSAAAAATACAGTCATKACTTTTAAGACAATGATTAATAWGTAGTAACGAAACTTAAACTGTTAACTATAATTTATTTGTTCCTGAGTTGTAAGCAGTGTTAGGAACAGATAACAAAAAAATCATCTGGATAAAGATAAAGATAACAACACTAAATTTKATCTAAGATACAGATAAAAGATAAACAAATTTAATTCATCTAACAAAAAGATAAAA